GGCCTTTTCGCCTCCGATGCCCACAAACACTGTCAGCTTCAGCCGTAGCATAAGATGTGCATCTCCCCACCTCCCTCCTCTCTCTCTCTCTCTCTCTCCCTCCCCCTGTCTCTCTCTCTCTCTCTCCCTCCCTCACTTCCCCCTCTCTCATGTAACGCGCACACGGCATTGTCATACGATTTCAACCATCAATGCAAAACCCCTCGACATGTATGTACGTTCGTTCGTTAGCGTCGGCTAAAACTAGTTTAACAAGTGGCGGCCACGTACTATTGCAAATGACCTAATACTCCCTACGAGGATACTACCCCCACTGTCCGGAGCTAATAATACATTAGTCGATATTAATAATACAAGGTATTATTAGCTCTTGATAATGTGTAAGCCGTTTTGATTTTATACATATATATATATATACTTTGTGTGTAAATAACTTATATATTTAGCGTGATGTGTGTGTATAAGTGCCTTGCAGTAGCGTTAGCGTATACCGACAGTGCACAGCGGACCTACAACTCTGGCCTTCTGGATAACGAGATTTTCCCGCCATTTTTTTTGTTTATTCCTCCACTGTAAATATTGGACAGTACAGTTGTTGTACTCGTAGTCAGACATCGAATGGAAATAAAATGCGTAAGCAAAAAAAAAATTCGTGTGATTGTGTGTTTTTATTCACTTTTATTTGTCTTTTGATGATAGTTCAATAAAAAAAACTATTTTGACAAATTTTGATTAGATGTACACAAAGAAAATAAGAAAACAATAAAAAGATCCCAATGAATGTTCTACATGATCTATAGTCATTACGTTTGACTCTTGACTGTGTTTGAATACACTTCTTTGGAATGATAAAAAGTAAATATATTCGAGCCTCACTAAAATCGCTCTGCAAAAGTAAACAGCTAGATACTTTATAACACGTTCTTTAACAACTTTGAAACTACTCATACGTAATTCCCCATAAGAAGCGAGAGGAAATTAAAAGCAAAACGAAGAAGAATGCCGGGAGGTGACTTGCCCTTCATTCGCGCGTGAATTTCATCGACTGTTGAAGAGAGATGGCGCCACTGTCCTCCAACACCTTTCCATTCTTCTTTAACCTTTGCAAGAAAAACCGTTGTTAACACACTCGTGCAGTTAAAACTATGAACTCGGGATGGTTTTAACCTGATTTTATCAGGGGTTAATAATGACATTGTCATTATTAACCCTGATTTTATCTCTTGGGTACTGCCTATATAGCCAGACGATGGCAGTTTAGTCAGCCGGCCGGCGGTGCCGAGCCCACGATCAGGTGATGGTGGTGATGATGATGATGGTGCTGGTGGTGAAGATAATGGTGACAGGGATGGTGGTGATGGTGGTGACGATGATGACAATGACGATGATGACAATGATCGCCATATTGACAATTATGGTGAGGATAATGACGATGATGGTGGCGGTAGTGACGATGTTGGTGGTGACAATGATGATGGTGGTGACGGTAGTGACGATGTTGGTGACGATAGTGACGATGATGGTGACGGTAGTGACGATGATGATGGTGGTGGTGATGGTGGTGGTGGTAATGGTGAAGGCAGTGTTGCCTGCTGTCTGGTTTTGACATCACGTTCTTCGGATGGTTGACGACGACGCTGACGCTGTCACCATTCCTGATCAGCAGCCTCTCGTGAGCAGCTGCTAGCTGATTCACCACCTGTCTCTCCACCTACAGGCAGAGATGGGAGTTAGTATTCAATCTATCTCTCCCTCTACTATCTCTCTCTCTCTCTCTCTCTCTCTCTCTCTCTCTCTCTCTCTCTCTCTCTCTCTC